TTTTTTTTTCGCAGTGTCACGGTTCCAATTTGCGCATACATTGTCAGGGTTTCATAAGTACATTGTCCATCTCTCCCCCAGTCCACTGGCCTACGAACCACCTCTCGCGCTACAAGCGTTCCACCTCTCGTTCTACACCCTCGGTTTAACTGTACATCGAGGAGGGGTCAAATGTGAGGTGTTGACTACTTAACTGTACATCGAGGAGGGGTCAAATGTGAGGTGTTGACTACTTAACTGTACATCGAGGAGGGGTCAAATGTGAGGTGTTGACTACTTAACGTCGTGAAAAAAATCATTAAGTGGATCAGCTATTTTTCCATTAAAGTACCGCTGGATAGCTTGTTCTATATGTACTGCATCTCCCCGTGGGTAAGTATATTCTTGTGCTAAAGGTCGACGGCAAATATTCGATTCTTTAAGGGCACTATCAAGAGGGGCAAGATACCTATCCTTGAAATCATCACTACTCATCTTCCTAAATTCAGCTGTAATCAATGCCCGGCTAGTATACACAAGAATAGGTATAGAGGGCATACTTCCTAGACCCACTGATGCATTGCCCTTAGACACTAGTTTCTCTGCACGATGTTCTTGCCCATCTTCATTATCCCGAATCTTAAGCAAGTGAGTGTCCAAAAAGACTCTCGTATTTTGTTCATTGTTACTGAAAACTCTTATAAATAGTTCGGGATTTATTGTAATGCATCCATTGCTAGGGTCATCGATAGTGATAGAATCACTATCTACCCCTGAGAAATACATACACGGCATTATGTTATAGAAATTGAATATGGTGTTTATTAATCCCTTAATCTTTGATTGGGTTACCCTTCCTTGAAATTGCTTATGTAATTTCATGAACCATTACATAATTAAATGTCTTAACTAGTCGCACAGTTATACGTCTTAACAAAGCTTCGTTTTTGCGAACGTTGTAAAAAGCATTTTGTCATTTGGCACTACTTCAACGCAGCTTGTGTGCTATTGTCTTTTGGACAAGTTATTATATAATAAAATAATCTCCCTAGAATTTAACATATCAGTGGCACTATCTTTTTTCTATCATATGATTAACTCCACCTCCCCGACTATGTCGATATCCTGCTTATTGTTTGCCATCTTACTAAGCTCGTTAACGTTGGTTGTAAATCCTAGTAATGTTCTAAGGCATAGCACTTGGAGATTGCGCGTTTTTCCCATAGTTAAGGTGCGCACCCGTTTGGGTGCAAAATAGTAAATGAATATCATTTCAGCGCGGGTTTTTTTAGAAAAACTACATTTGTATGTTTGTCGCGCTTCCACCCAATTGCAAGGTAAAGTAATTACTGACTTATTTATTTGTAATCGTTGCTTATTTTATAATTGCCACTTGTTTGTTTGTAATTACTGAACTAGTAATTGCCTATTATTTAATACCAGCTTATATAATCAGGATATTCTACTAACGGAATTCACTAACTAATTATATACAATTGATAGAAGATAAATGTAATGATGTTGAAGCAAATTATCAGATTTAGCGAATTCGAAGAATAAAAATTACAATATATCTTTCGTTGCAAGATACGTAGTATCATGCATTGTCTTGTCTCTAGAATGTTTTATATCTATAAATAGAAACATTCTACAGTAGCTGATGAGTCGTTTGTCTCACAATTTCTGGTTAAGTTTTGGTCTTGTTATGTTTCGAAATCCTAATTTTGTCACTATATAAGAAAGTCTATCGACTAAAGTATTATTTAATATATTTAAAGAAATAGTATGGTTACTCAATCGTTTCGCAAACTGACTTTCACCTTGATTAAGTACTTAACAGTCATAGTTGCTATATATTACGTTCTATATGTTACTATCCAATTTATACTTAGAAGTGTGTTTAGGTGTCTTGGTTATGACGTTGACAGCTAAGACTATGGTTATTATGCCTGCTGTATGGACATTGTTTACTGTATTAAGGAGCACGCTAGTTGTAAATAATTTCCAAAGATTACATTTTTACTCTTTAATGCACGATTCTTCTTTACTCTGACAAATATACTAGTAGATCCCCCACCTGAACCTTTCCCCAGCACTTGGAGATTGCACGTTTTCCCGTAGTTAATGTGCGCACCCATTCGGTGCAATGTCGTGGGTGCAATGTCGCAAATGCGAACGTAGAAACCAACACTGAACACTTTGATTGTTCTGTTGACACAACCAGTGTGTCGCACGCTTCGTTTTGCAGGTTACGCTGTGTGGGATCGTCATGCCATTTAGTCAATTAACTATGTAAAGTATAATAGTCCCTTAGAATTCAGCATATCAAAATTGTTCATAAAATATCTGTCTTCTTCCATCCTTCACATCAAAGTCATCCTGGTTATCAACTGCGATCTTACTAAACTCGTCAATCTTGGTAATACCAAAACTTTTTTCGTGATGTTCGCATATCAGAACCCCACAAAATGCAATTATTTCCTAGATGAAACTTGAAACAAGTACTTCTTTTATGCTAACTTAATTAATTTTTCTATAAATTGAGGAGGTCCCACAAGAAATAATAATGAGGTTTTTGCTCACATTAATGTAATAACGATGAATAATAACACTTTTCCTAATAATATTAGGAGATATATTTTAGAACGCGGCGGTGAAGATAGGGATATGGATATTGATGTTGATGCTGATATTGATCTATTTGAGATTACTAAATTCAATTATAGAACATTATTCGATAAAGGTGCGAATCAAAATGTCAGCCATACAGAAATGGTGTTTAAATTTTTTGGAATTGAAAATATATCTGACGTGGATTTGGAACCTCAAAGTCAAAAATTGTACTTTAAAGATAACCCAGATGAATGGAAAAAATTATTCATCTTCTTTTGTGTTATGCCATTTACCGAATATGAATTTGAAGGACCTGATGGAAATTTATTAAACCCTGATACCCTACGTAAGACCGGTCTGAGCCAAGCAACAGACAACATTCTAATTCGGACTTTTTCGGATATAGAGTTTGAATCATTCAATGAGGAGATTCCGGAAAGCAGATTCGCAAATAACTTGCAATGTATTTTGAGAACAGACCTATTATCTAATACGTTTAGCGAGGATCAAAGAAAAAAAGTAATTACAAATTTGCTCTATGTTGGTTTTCAATCAAAGCATAAACATGTAAAGGATGTGTTATTGACTGACGAAGATACATATAAAATTAATTTCATGAACTATTTGTTCAGCCCGGTATGTGAGTACGTGGCATCATTGTTATATTCTGAAATTGAAGTACGGAATAAAAATACAGTTGGTCAAACTGGAGTGCATACTAGAGTACCTCACACAACAAATGATTTATTTCATTCGCATCCGGATATTGTGGCTTATGCGGAAAAATTACACTACCGATCGTTAGCTATAGTGGAAGTCAAAAAATTACCACTTTTAAAGGGCGGCAAAGTGATAAACTTTAATGACCCAAAAATGGTTAGATTCTTTGTTCAACTTGTCGCAGAAATGTTTTCTAACCACACAAATAAAGGCATGCTAACAGATTCTTATACAACAATATTGGCTGAAATAGATGTCGAGAGAACCTTGGAGATAATCAACCAGAATACCGAAAGATTGAATGATGAAAAACCCATAGCTCTAAATTATAAAGCGTTAGATTGCGAATCATCTGGCCTTACGTTGAGAGGTGGCCTTATTTCATACATCTATGAGGCTTTCCTGGTGAATGAGCCTCGAGTCGCTGAAATTACGAGAGGAATGGATGCTATTTATAAGTTTATTCGTAAGACAGATGAAGAGTACTTAACGAACTTGGATGAACTAGCATCGAAAGATAAGATACCGTTCATGGAGTACTGCATCAATGCAATTGAAAATCACCATCGAGAATCAGAAAAAAGAGAAAGACTTTTTATAACAGAAATTGGACTAGGAAACTTTGACGATATCGACGTGCAAAGCGGGTTCACGTTTAATACCCAACTCTTCAGAGTGAATACGAAGAATGTAATGGACTATTTAACGGAGGTCAATGATCACGATCAATTTATTGTGAAGGTCTTTGATCCAATCAAAGCCAAAAGAGACCATAAGGATTACCAAGATAAACAAACTGATATTTTCGGGGCATGTCGCAGGGCGTACCTGTGCGAGAAACTTGCATACGAAAAATTGTCAAATAACTTCTTGTTCAATAGCGTTTATGTTGACCAGAGATGCGTCTTTGGAACTTTCAATATCGGTAAGCATTATCATGCATTGGGCCCATTTCTCATACTAAAATATATAGAAGAAGGAGAAGAAGAATATTATCGATTGCCCAAAGATAGGGCGACGTACGAAAAAGCCGAAAAGCAGTTGGAAATAATTCACAGTGTCGGAATAATACATGGAGATATTTGTGAACGGAATATTCTTTACTCAGATGGAAAGATATATTTTATTGATTTTGGATATTCTGATTATTTTCACGATAAGAAGGGTTCGCGACCAGTTAGTGCTAATGCTGAGAGAAGGAAAAGNGAACACAGAAAATTGTGTAGAGTGTTTAACCAGTTAATTCCGGAAAAGTATGAAGATTCGAAAAATGAGGGAGACTAGTTATANAATCATTGTATAGCAAGTAATAAGAAGCAGAAACATGTTTGNCACTTATCCTCATCACCCTCCTCCATACCCTGTGCTTGCCGGNAAAAATGAGTTCCGCATCGAGTTTGAACTATACTAATGAAAGCTATTGGAACCATGACAGATAGTGTGAGAGTGTAACCATGACAGTGCGAAAAAAAGCATAAAAAACTTTTAACTGTACATTCTCAGACTGGAACACTCCCCCAATTCATGTACTAAGTCTTGTAGTTTAGTATTCCGATGATGTAGAGTATACTCCATGTAGTGTAGACCCATTTAGAAGATATTTCTCAAAGTTGAAATATTAGTTTTCATATTTTCAGATTCTCGCAAAAAAATATGAGATATCATAAACTGAGAGAAATATTTCACAAATTTTAAAAATAAGAAAGTTTTATTTTTCAGGTAAACTTTGAGTATGTTATTATAACAATCTATTGCATGTTTAAGTTGAAATATTGAATCCATACGAGTTTTATATTTGTTATAATGATAGTTGTAGAATTGTGATTAGACAACATCCCATGTTCATTTGGGTTTCCTTTTCGCGCTGTGCTGCGAACCTTATCTCTTTCTAGACAGCAATTGGGCTATTTTCACATGCATTATTTGCACTCGCACGATCCGAATGTCGACGACAGATGAGTTGTCCCGTTCTGGAAATATTCAAGCCTGCATCTTTTGCAACAAAAATGGAAGCATACGGCGTACGTATTGTTGATATTAACGGAGTTTCAATTTTAACACATGAAGAAAATATTCTTAACCCGTTTTCCGAGAGATTTACCCAGAGATATTTAGTGAATGCCGTAGGTTGTTCCAGCATCCGTGAAGACATTCTATCAACAATTCATAACCACTTCGATAACCACTCAAAAGACCATTATGTGCGAAAAAGGGTTGTTTCCATCAATTACGACTCCGAAATAGCAGGAGCCAAGGAATCTAAACTAAATGTGTGCACGATTTGTTTTAACCACTGCGGACAGAACTACATCAACCAGCATCTCAAAAAAGAGCATGGCGTTAGGAGGAATTTTCATTTTCTTGACCATACTGTTTGCCTTGAGGATCATTTTCATTAGAACCATTTGCTCTCAATATGTAGTCAAGAGTCTCAAAATCATTCTTCTTGTGTTCTTCATTACTTGTGCAGTCTGATAATCCAAAATCTATCAAAGATATCTTACCAGAAACAGACACATGAATGTTGGCTAGTCTAATATCATTATGGGAAATCCCTATCAGATGAAGCTCTTTGAGTCTTGACTTGATAACTCTGTACACTTCTTTCTTATTCCACTTTTCCTCTGGTACCTCCTTCCCTAGATATTCAAATATATGCATTGGGTGATCGGAAAATCCGCTCCAATAACCAGAAACAAGGAGCTTTGGAAAATTAGAAGCTTATTCTGACTTAGCAATTCTTTCATTAATTAAAAGCTCGTTGAAAAATATGCCATAATACCCCTCTTTTTCCGGTATCTCCAAACACATCAAACTATTCTCTTCCCACAATCGACTAGAGTAATAATATAGTTTGACAAAAACTGGCGATGGAAGATTCAAATCTGGATAAAATTCTGCGGGATCGTATATAACTCGACAATATGTGTTACCATCAATAGCATCAAAGTTATCGCTGACATCACTTTCTCTTATCGAGTCTAAGTTGGCTGAAAATCCAGGTCTATCCAATTTTCCCGAAGATCCAGAAGGATCTCTAGGACGAACGTTGAAAAATGGATACAGTTCTTTAATACTTTTTACGTCGGTGCTGCTGGTAACACTAAAAATTTCCATCAACCTGGCCTTTGTATCAGTTGCATCACCAACACTTTTATAAAAAAATCCCGCTATGGCCGACCTCAAAGTAATACGATGGATCATGGATTATATAGTAGTCTATAATCATTTCGCCATCAACTATTTCATACTTGAAGAATCCTGAGAATGTTTGGTGGTCTGAAATAAGAATCCTGTCGGTTCCACTGAGAAAAGCTTCGTAGATACATTTGCTTTGAACCAAGGCAAATAATACTTTAGGCGACCACTCCCTATCTGGAAAGAAGTTCCAATTGAATTCAGCCTCAATCTTCTTCGATTCAGAATAGCTGTTTTGAATTCCTCAAAGCCTTGCGTCATTTTATAAACTCCCGTTTTGTAATCACCTATCCCAAAAACAATTTCCGGATATTGGGTATTTAAATCCGGCTTAGTTAACATGTGAATCATATCAGGTTGGACCGTTCTTTTTTGATCTAATGGTGGTCTTACAAACGATGCATACTCAAAAATATTTTTTTTATCGCCAAGGTCTTGAAAAAGTCCCCCGATCGGGATTGCTATTTCATTAAAGTACCGCTGGATAACTCGTTCCACATGTATTGCATCTCCCAGTGGGTAAGCATATTCTTGTGCTAAAGGTCGACGGCAAATATTCGATTCTTTAAGAGCACTATCAAGAGGGGCAAGATACCTATCCTTGAAATCATCACTACTCATCTTCCTAAATTCAGCTGTAATCAATGCCTGGCTAGTATACACAAGAATAGGTATAGAAGGCATATTTCCTAGGCCCACAGATGAATTACCCTTAGACACTAGTTTCTCTGTACGATGTTCTTGCCCATCTTCATTACCCTGGATCTTAAGCAAGTGAGTATCCAAGAAGGCTCTTGTGTTTAGTTCATTGTTATTGAGAACTCTAATAAATAGATCAAGATTTACTCTAATGCATCGATTCTCAGGGTCATCGTATGTGATAGAATCACTATCTATCCCTGATAAGTACATACACGGCATTATGCTATGGATATTGAATATGGTGCTTATTGTTATCCCTTAAATCTTTGAAGGAGTTACCCTTCCTTGATATCGCTTATATAATAATGCCAATCATTACATAATTAAATGTCTTAACTAGTCGCACCGTGACAAGGTTTCGTTTTGTGTTACTTCTTTGCAATGTTAAATTGAATTCTTTTATATTTAAGTTAGGTATTTTTGGTATATTTATACCGCTTATTATTGCATCGCAACTTCCAATTATTAACATTGTGTAGTTGCTATTCTTTGCTACATAAGTAGTCGACACAACTACTATACCCTGCAATTGACGGCGATCTGCCTAAACCATACAAAAATTGCATTTGCATTTTGTTTACTTTTGGGGTAGCCATGACATCATGGTACTCTAAACAAAGAACAATTTACACTTTTTGTATGGTGTTGAACAGTTTACATGCAGTTGCAGGATAAAGTAGATGAAATATCAAACACCTTATTACTAGGAATACCTTAATACTGTTCTTAGGTTAAAATTAAAATGTGACCTGACCTTACCATTTACCACTTGCTGCTTCTTTAGGTTGAATAATACCTAATTTCTAACTGATCATCGCACCCTACTTCATTTCTCTTGTTTTCGATTAATCATTATTGATCAGTGTGATTGAAAGGTAGTATCAGTGGTTATGCAACCGGTATTGACCCCACACTTCTTGTAAGTGTGGTGGCATACATTCTCCTGTGTCTTCTAACTGTGACCAGAATCCCATTCTAGGCCGTTAAAAGCTCATTTCAAAGTATCCATTTTAAATACCGGAACCTTAAAGAAGTGGTCAAATGATGTGTAAGTTTATTCATATAAACGCAGTTTCAATCATTGGTTGCTTATTAACTAAGAAGGACCAATACAGGACTTCAATCAGGAAGCAATTTCTCTATGCGTTCTGCAAAGAGAAGTAGTTTCATCAATTTTTTTATTTTATTTTAATACTAATTCAAAATATAATGTACTTTTTATATTACTTCAATTAGAAATTATTGATAAAGGTAAAAATATTCCTTTGTTTAGATCTTGCACGAATAATTAAACTTAGTATTAACCATTTAGCATCATTACCTGATTGTGTTATTAAAAAGCGTAAATGTTTATAAAAAAGTATTTATTATAAATAAAAGATATCGGAATGGTCGGCTCACCTCACAGGAGGATCAAGTAATACCTTTGAAGCGCTATGACAACATATGCGGTATTATGACAAGATATAGGTATTATAACAACATATAAGGTATTATGATATGGTACCAACAAATGTTCTCAAGGATAATATGGTAATAGTGCAAAATCAATGTTAAACTTTTTTTTTTCCAAAGTATATAAGGCCGTCTCTTGCCGTGCTAAAGGACTTAGTTATTTCGCCTTTGACATATCGGATCCAAGGTTTAAATTACAAATCTTTTACATATCTAAAAGAAATATCGAAGATAATGAAGTTCGTTACTTTGTTATTATTTTTCTTAGTGTCCACCTACGCATCTAAGTTTCCAAGTAAACAAGAACTTGCGAATACGGGAGACTTACCTCGAGTAACTATGCTAATCAGTAACATATCGAAAGAGGTAGAGGGATATTTACGTGGAGGTAACGGTAATATAATGCCAGATGAACTATTTAAAACATTAGTGGTAACGGACGAGTTCAAGCAGATGATACAGAGTTCCAAAAGGGATAACAGATTAGACCCGTTTGCATTTGGCTTTAAATCGTTCGATAGATTGATAAAGAACGACAGCCTGTCGGCATATGTGAACGAGAAGAGATCTATATCAGTTCCGGATTGGGTAAAACCTGATACGTTGAAGGAGTACACGTATATCAAGAAATTTCGATTGAGTACTTGGAGAACTTGGTTAGTAGAGAACTGGTATGAAACGAAAGGCGCTTTTCTAGATTCTGCTCTAAGTGTTGCGTAATTAGAGACAGCCATTGCCGATTTAATGCATGATTCAGCCGGTGAGACTTGTCGGGGGTATATACAATTTGTAGAGGCAGGAGGATTAAAATGGCAGTGTGTCGTCTCGGCCTGGACTAATGAGAATAAAGATGAGTGCTATACTGATGGGACAGCTAGCATGTTCGCTAATCCCTGTGACGAAGCCATTGAAGAAGCCAATAGACGCGAGATGGCGGCTTATTGCTTAAATGGTTGGAATGGTGGTACATTCCATGCAGATGCCAGAGTTTTTCACCCCGATGTAAAGAATGCTAATATATGGGATTTAGACTTTAATAATTAGTTTTTGAAAAAAAAATAAAAATATGGAAAAAGAAATATTTAGAATAGATTAGTCCAAAAGTTATCAAATAAAGGTATTAAAATATTTCTCTGATATGAATGATCGATTATTCGTATATTAGATTGGACCAAGACAGTTAGTTTGGCTAAGTCAGTTAATTTCATGTAAGAACTGTTTATTCTGTAATTAGTATAAATCGATGACAGTCAGCTCAACCGAAGTAAATCCTACTTGGTTGTAGTCGTGGTTTACATATCGTGAGATTCGAAACTCATTTCTCAATGCTTTACCTCAGAGGAAATGCTTTCCTCACCTTCATCATTCAAAGCCTAATAAAGTTGCAACATATCCACGTATAGGCTTAAACAAATATTCTTTAAAGTTATCTCTATAAGCATCTTCCACTTTTGATATAATATGTTTAGCAAGTTCATACTTTGATTGAAAACCAAGGTAGAGCACATTCGTTATTATTTTCTTTCTATGATCTTCATTAAGATATATTTTTTTTCAAAATACATTGCATACTATCTGTAACGTACGGAATTTCTTGGTTCAGTGATTCAAATTCTATATCTGAAAACGTCCCAATTAGAAGGTTGTCAGTAGCCTCACTCGGACAATATTATGAAGAGTATCGGGATTTAGCAAATTTCCATCTTTGCCTTGAAATTCGTACTCGGTTGATTGCATAACACAAAAGAAAATAAATAAGACTTTCCACTCATCTGGGTGATCGTCAAAATACCACTTGTGCTTTTGAGGAACTGTATCCACATCAGATATATTTTCAATTCCAAAAAATTTAAACACCATTTCTGTACGGCTGATATTTTGATTCACACGTTCATCGAATAATGTTCTATAGTTAAATTTGGTAGTATCAAACAGATCAATACCAGCATCAACATCAATATCCATGTACTTGTCTTCGCCACCTTCTTCCAAAATATATCTCCTAATATTATTACGAAAAGTATTGTTATTCATCGTAATTGGTTGTGATGAATAAAAATTCGGTAATGGTTGTGTCAAATGACAAAAAATTAAGTGCTGATTTTGCTCTCATTGCATTTTTATCTATCATAGAGGTTTGCACACACGTTAATTCTTTAATTTGGGCATCTCGAGTCTCGCGATTCATGTGTTGTGGCGTTAAATGATCATAAGATGATAAGCATGTTTGAAAAATATCTTAGTGGACCTCAGTAGCAAATAAGATAGACAGAAATAAAATCTTCCAACAGAGCGAACAATCATGAAGGACTTCGTTCCCAATAACGTAATACAATCTTATCTTCTCTTTTTTTACGACTGTTAAAATCTGCAAAACGCGCAATCTCCAAGTACAGGTGATAGATCCTTCTAACGATAATTTATACGCAGGAGATTGAGACATTTCACCTCTTTTGGATAGCATACGACGTCAAACGGGAACGTTTGAATTCACGCTAAGACATTTCATTATGTAATAACTATTGCGATTACGTAACCGCAACTAATTAACGATTAAGGGGTGAACAATAAAGCATCGCTGTTTAATATCTATCACAAATGCCATGTATGTATTTTTCAGGGGTTGACAGCAGTGCTATCACCATCGATGATCCTAGCAAGCGTCGCATTATAATAAATCCAGAATTATATGATAGAGTCCGCAATAACGAGGAAGAGAATGCAAGAATTTTTTTGGATACTCACTTATTAAGGATTCGAAGTGGAATAAGTGAGCAAAAACTCTCCTCGGAGAGACTAGTGCCCAAGAGTAAGGCATCCGTAGACGTAGGGAATAGGCCTTTTATGGCTATTCTTGCGTATACCAGCCGTGCGTTAGTTACTGCGGAATTCAGGGAAATGAGTAGTGATGAATTCAAAGGTACCTACCTTGCCCCGCTTGATAATGCTCTTAGAGAATCAGGTATCAGGAGTCGACTTTTAGCAGAAGACTATCGTTATCCATTGGGGGATGCAATGCATGTGGAACAAGCTATCCAGCGGTACTTTAATGGAAAAATAGCTGATCCACTTAATGATCTTTTTCAGGACGTTGGTGATACAGACAACTATTTTGGAAGTCCATCAATAATAAGACCGCCATTGGATCAACGAAGAATAGTACAGCCTGATATCATTCATATGATAAATAAATCGGATTCAGATATGCAATGTCCCGATATTGTTTTCGGGATAGGTGATTACAAAACGGGAGTCTATAAGATGACGGAAGGATTTGAAGAATTGAAGGCAGCTATAGAGAGTCAAATCGAGAATTTGCTGAACAAAAGAATATTGAGGCTGCAATCCGGTGGGAACTTTTTTCCAGATAGGGAGTGGACACCTAGGGTGTTATTTGCTTTGGTTTTAAGGAAGTATATATACCGAGCTTTCCTCTGTGGAACCGACAGGATTTTTATTTCAGATCACCAAACATTTTCAGGGTTCTTTAAGTATGAAATTATGGATGACAAGATGTCTATAGACTACTATGTCATTAATGATCCAGAAACTGTGAAGCATGGCATAACTTTGAGGTCGGCAATAGCCGGATTTTTCTGTAAGAATGAGGCTGATGCGATTGACACAAAGGGCAGGTTGAAGAAAACTTTCGAAGTGGCCAGGAAAACTGAAGAACTGGATCCGTTTCTGAATGTCTTGCCTAAAGCTTCTTATGGATCTCCAGGAAAATTGTCGCATAGTGGGGTTTCAAGTAAGTTAGCAAGCAAGTTAGACCCAGTAAAAGAAAATGACGATAGTGATAACTTTGATGCCATTGATGGTAACACATATTGTCGAGTTATATACGATGCTGCAGAATTTTATCCTGATTTGAAACTCCCATCCCCTGTTTTTGTCAAACTATACTATTATTCTAGTCGGTTGTGGGAAGAGAATGATTTGATGTGTTTCCATATACCAGAAAAAAAGGATTATTATGGGATGTTCTTCAATGAACTTGCAATCAATGAAAAAATTGCTAGTTCTCAATTTGCTTCTAATTTCCCAAAGCTCCTTGTCTCAGGTTACTGGAACGGACTTCCCGACCACCCGATGCATATATTTGAATACCTAGGAAGAGAAGTCCCGGAAGAAAAGTGGGATAATAGAAAAGTACGCACAATTATCAAGTCAAGGCTCGAGGAGCTCCATCTATTAGGAATTTCACACAATGATGTTAGGCCGGCCAACATTCATGTTTCTGTTTCAGGCAAAATCTCTTTGATAGATTTTGGGCTCTCAGATTGCACAAATAATGAAGAACACAAAAGGAATGACCTTGAGACTCTTGATTCCATATTGGGAGTATATGGTTGTAATGAAAATGATCCTCAAGGCAATCAGTATGGTCAAGAAAATGAAGTACTTCCTGACGAGGCCGGTGATGATGAAAATGATGGAAGTGGTAGTAATCCTTCCTCTGAAGCGGTTTTTGATGAGATGAGCACACAATCACTCGCTACAAGTACAACGGAAGTTAATACCTCGAAGACGTCAGAAAGATAGTAGTGCACATCCATAAAAGAACCTGCTATTTTAACAGTGTCTTGTTCTGCTTACTGCTCTCGTAGAATTTATTCGAAAAAGAGGTTTTAAATGCTAACCTTTGTTCCAAGCCAATATTCATCTTTATTGAAGACTTCCTCTATATTTATATCTCACGTAATCTATAATTTAGAATATAAATCAGGGAATACTATATTAGAGAAAAAGTATTCTAATAATTAGAAAGTGGCACCAAGATGTACTTGTACTGAGAATTATCAGTTCACTATATAATACCTCGCAATGCAATTTCTGAATATGTACCATCAAAAGTTTTTAATTTTTTTCAATTTTGAAAGTTCAGGTAGTATTTAGTATTCTGAATAAGTTTCAATATCCTTATTGAAGGGATCTGGATCATCATAAATTTGGTCTCATTATCGTTCCCTATTTAAAATTCATTGATGACTTAATATAGCCTACAATTTCCCAGCTTCTCTTAGTTACTAGTTTAACAAACATTGCAAAATTGCACCTGTGCGCCTTAACTATGTGAAAAACGGACAATCTCCAAGTGCAGGGGATAAGAGATGAAAGCAGGGCATGGATCAACAATGGCTTTAAACAGTTACGAAAGAACCACTACTAAAGATTATCAAAATGGCATAGTTGATGCCAAAACGTTGGCAGGAAATCATCAACCTTTCCTTATAGCTTAACGAATTGGAAAACTTCAAAGCCAATATCAACTCTCCAATAAAGAAATATTTGTTTATTTTATTTGTTTATTTCTACGAAATCAATGACTTGTGATTTCTATTGATTGGTGCATTCTTATGTAACATTATCAATATTCTATTGTCTAGCTTTGTTTATTTGTTTTGATTTAATAGTACCATGACACCATGGTATTCTCTAAAGTAAACAAAGAACAAGTCACACTATTAGTATGAGGTCAGTTGCAGGGTATATTCTAAATTGGAAACTACATTTCTTGTTATACTTAAACAGTACCAACTAATAATAATTTATGATGCCTTCAACATAACGTTAGTAAAGTGTAGTACGGCAACCCAACCCCACCACACAAAAATGTAGTTATTCACGCCTCACTCACATAAAAAAGAAATGTAAGTAAGTGCATAACCTAGTGAGTACTAATCCTGAGAGGACCAAGAAGGAGCACAGACTGTTGTGCAAAGATTTAATCAGCCAAATATGAAGATTCTAGCGAATAAAGTATGAGCTTATAGCCATGTAGTCAATTGTGAGCATCATTGAGGGGGAACTTATACAGGATTTGAGATTGCCCGCGTTATATTATTTTGTTGCAACCTGCGGCATGTGGAGTCTCTACCTCCTTCAGCGGGTCCAGTATATCCTGACTTATTTGATGCCTTGTATATCCTGTTAATGATATTTATTGGGATAAAGAAATATGGAATATATTGTATTAGCGTAAACTCCAATTCCATCGCCTTATGTGTGTGGGCTTTAGGCCTATCTCCCCGGTTCCTTCTCAGTGGGGTTTTCCAGTGTCCGTTTCTAGGAACGATTCGAATCTCTCACCCATTATTTAATAAAAATCATTAAGGTGGGAGATAAGTAAATAGAATGCAATTGAATGTGAACTGATAATACAAAATAGTCGGCGTGCTGTTTACTTTAGGGATCGGTTTGATGTTATGACTCCTTATGAGTCAAATAAATATATAAATAAGTACGCAAAGAAAGCATTATTGTACAGTCGGAGGCTTATGTATGTATCAACCACCTAATAGGAAGCATAGACAGTACATAATTAAACAACAAAACACTTTATAAAACAACATCGGATAATTTAAAATATTCGTCTGCTCATTTTATTTTCTTCATTGGGAGTTGAATATTAGCCCTTGATATTTGAAAGGTTACAATTGCAATAGAAGAATTTCAATTTTTCATAAGTTTCATCAGCAAATATGGTTACGTATTTCCGATAATCAAAAGTTTCCTTCCGCTAGGAAATTGTTTGTTTAAGTTCACGATTAACATTTGCAAGATATTTTTGGGGAACAATGGGTTAATACGAACTTAGTTAATTTATAACAAGTTGGAGACCATTCAACTCTTGTGATTAGTATATACACCAATAACTTTTCTAATAAAAGCAATTTTATAAGGCTACCAAAAGCTCATTAAGAAACAATTATTACCAGCAATTTATGAATACAACTATTGAGAAACCAAGGTCTACTATACTAACTCTCACCTCCTCGGCTGACCAAGTCAAATAGCTGGCTTTCCAATTTATCAAATATAAAAGACTTATCGTCCTGGTATGAACCATTATCATACGTAATCTCTTTTTCATTCATTTCTTCTAGATACATTTCACAGTCCGCCAATGTTCTATTTTCTTTCATTTCACTCAAATATTCTCTTAATCCATTATTAAAGGGTACTCCAAAGTCCAAATTTCCTCCATCTGCTACACTGTCACACTGAAGAAGAACCATTTTTGCGTACACAAGGTTTTTTCCTATCTTTGTTGGATCTCCTTGTTTCACCAATCGGTTAAGATGCATTTTACACATTCTAATGTTGCTCAATAAATAGCTCTTGGTTCTACACCGGAGTATTTCTTTCCTGTTTTCATATAAGAAAGCAGCTAAGATCTTGAAGCTTTTGTTGATATAAAAGGGGTATGCATGAATTGTCTCTATTGCCACAGGAGATCCTTTTAGTAACAATTTATAAAAATGTGCAGTCGTCGTGATATTCCCTTCAACATTGTACTGAGGCAATCTCAACTTTTCGCTGAAGACCACATTCGTTAAAAGTTCTCTCTTCGTTGGATTAGTTAAAACCGTTATATCATAATCTGAGTCATCTTCATTCAAACCGCGCATTCGTGATCCTCTTAAGTAGACCGCTAAAACTTTGCGGTTAGTCAGCTCCTCTATGTCTCTAACTACCAGTTCTATTACATCCATATCCTTGTTGAACGTTCGTTTATCCTAACGTTTTTATATTGGGTCACGAAATATAATTGTCGTCGTGTAATGATAAAGGTGTCTGCGATAAAAAGCTGTTTTTCAGTTTAAGTTTTTCTTATCCGCGCACAAAAGAATTCCTGTGTCCTTTTTTCTCCTTTAGCTTTAGTTCCAGTTTTAATTTTAATTGAAACTTTATCTTATAGTTCTAGAGCTATTTCTCTAGGTTTACGTTTATCTGCTAACTTTTTATCTGGTCACTTTTTAATGTTAATTTTAGGTACTTTAATGTTTAATTTAATGGGATCTTCTGTTTTAGGTTTCATAGGTGGATTTGTACCTATTTTAGGTGTTATTGCCACTAAAGTTATTTTCAATTCCGAAGAATATATTTCTAAATGGCTTAAATTTAGGTGCACACCCTTGCCGAAAAGACTTTATAGTCGAATTTGAAAATGTCAGATCTATCAAAATCAATATCAGTATCAGTATCCTTATCGCGTTCCCAAATATATTTCCTAATATTATAAGAAAATTACTGTTGTTAATTGTAATTAATTGAGGTGAATAAAAATTTTCATTTTCTTTCTTGAGAGACTCCGCAAGGATATTGATGTAGTGGAGAATGAAGGAAGATACATAATTGATAAACAATTCTGATATGCTGAATTCTAAGAAGGAAAGCCCTATTCATATAATAAATTGACTAAATAGATGCTGGTATCACAGTGTAACCTGCAAAACCACCCTTGCATCAAAGAGCAAATTGTAAGTTATGGTAGTGTGTCAAAGTAACAGAAACAATTAAAGTGCTAAGTGCTGATTTTGACGTTTGCATTTGCGACATTGCGCTTTTTCCTTGATGAGGCAAGGTTTGCGAAAAAAGTGAGGTAAAGTACCATGACGTCATGGTACTATCTAAAGTAAAAAGAACATTATTAGTATGGGTTTGACCGGTTTGCACGCAGTTGCAGGGTATAATAGTTATCAACCACATTCTAAAATTATCATTATAACACATATAAAACTTATATAGGTTCAATATTCCAAATTTCAGTAGAAAAATAAAACTATCATATGTAGAGGAATGATTCCAGTTTTAAATTGTATAGTTAAAACTTTTCTGCCTCCCATTCTTTTTTTCGCGCTGTCAAGGTATGACTATCATAAATATCTATGGTTCCAATAGCTTTCATTAATAAGTTGATACTTTTGCAAATTACCTTTATCTATATCAATGAAACTGCTAATCAAACATTATGATAATAGAAACAAGAGTCTGCTGAACTAAGGATTTATCAAGCTATCTAGGAAAAGAATAACCAATAAAGACAGTAAGGATGCTGACAGCAATGTTATTCCGGCCCAAAATAAAATATATTCATCGCCTACAGAAATTGTAAACACTGCTAGTCTAACTAGTATTGCTGAGGAACAAGCATTTTTGTCAATTGATAAGATATGGCCGCTATTCCTGCGAATAACGTTGACCCACCTGCTAGAGCTGCTGATGCCCAGTTACGCTTTATAATATCACTACTAATACTGTTACTCGGCATCTGGTACCATTCTCAGAAAGAATAGAACAGAAATGTCGATAATTATATACCTTTTGAAAATACTATGATTTTTAGAAATGTTTACTCCTCATATCATTCCTGACGTCTCCTCATCAACTATTTCTATCGATTACTGTGCTATGGTCGTCCAAAAGACTGATAAATGAAACACTTAACTGGTTTTCTTAGCAAAGCAACCTCCATTCATGTTTTAATTTCGTATTTCTATAAAATTAATCGTCTTAGACATTTTTATCCCTAATTTGACTACATATTCAAAAATAGTCACAAACACATTACAACCTGTATTGAGCGTATCATATTTTCTAATTATATTCTTATCTCAGATTTTTTCTGCACCATAGTTAAAGTTTTGATGTGTTCAGCTTTATTGTAAATTTAAATATTTGCAGATTATAGCAAAATCTCGGATCTGGACCTGTGATCGCGTTATGCTTTCCAAAAAGAAATGTGATGATAAGACTTTTAATTGACCTCTCTTTCCCTCAATCAATTCCTTCCTCTTGACGTCGAGTAGTATACCTGGAGAAACAAATTAAACCTAATTATTAAACAGAGTCAAATGGTCTGTAGGGCAAAGCAAAATAACTATTTTCTCTCCTCATATGAAAGATGATAAAATAATTCTTTCCACTCATTCTTTGTTGGTTTTGTATCACTATCAGAATCTTTATAGATTCTGAAATAAATCATTGTAAGATCCAGAATTGGTTATTCTAATGATACTGATAGTAATCAGAGAGTATGGAAATAATCTAAACAAGCTGAAACGAAACAAGAATATAAATTAGGAATGAATCTTCAAGAAGAATATTTTTCTAATCAGCGAATAGTAATTAAGCAGATCATGCTTAATTAAGACCATCCTAAAGAAGTCATCGATAGATCGCTTTGCTATTTCTATAGTAACCAATATTGATATATAAGACCAGTAATACTTAAATATTCTTCCCTAAATATTTCAGGTATTCACACGATCTTTATCATAACCCTAAAAATAATGTGATCTCACAAGTCCAAAATTTCTCGATAGCTCACATTCTGACTTACACTCTTATCGATTCTTTAGATATGAAATTCTTGATAACACGCGAATGGCTATAACCTACTCTGTAATAAGCGATCCAGAGACTGTTGAACACGGCACTACTTTAAGGTCAGCAGAAGCGGAAATTTTCTATAAGAATGTTGCCGACGCACAAGCTACGAAGGGTAGTTACTAGAATATTTCGAAAAAGCCAGCAACACAAAGAAACAGGATCCATTTATGAATGTTCTTGCTAAAAATAGTAGTGTATCGTCAGGGAAATTATCTGACAGTAATTTATTGGCAATTGGACCCAATCAAAGAAAATTCTAATAGTGATGCCTTTGATGAAATCCATGATAACACCTATTGCTGAATCATTCACGATACGGCAAAATGGTATAAATCATAAAAGTGTTTGTCAAATTATACTATTACTCTAGCCAACCATGGGGAGAGAATGGTTGATGTGCGTTTCGATCCCCGATAGAAAGGGTTTTTATGGTATGTTCTTCAATGAACTTATAATTAATAAAAGACTTGGAAAATCACAATTTGCTTCCAATTATCCAAAACTTAATGTTATTATTGGATTGGCCTTCCGGACCATCCGATGCATATATTGAATATAGGGAAAAAATATCAGAGGAAAAATGGGTTAAGGAAAAATGGGTTAAGGAAAAAGTGCACACATTTATCAAATCAAGACTCGAAAAGCTTCATCTGTTACGAGTTTCGCATAATGATGTTAGGTCTGGTAAAATTTCCTTGATAAACATTAGACTATCGGCTTGCACAAATAATGAAGACCGTAAAAACATGACTGCGAATCTCTTGACTACATCTTAAGGAATGATTATAGTGGTTATAGTAATTATAGTGAAAATGATAATCAAATCAAGCAAGATAGTCAAAAAATGAAGATATGCTTTCTGTTAAGGCTGGCACAGATAGCAAACATGGAAGTGATATCAATTCTTCTGATGAAGTAGTTTTTGATGCGATGAGCTTAGAATCATTCGATACAAGGAATCCCATAGATAATAGATACCTGTTAGCGAATCTGTTTTTTATGGGCATTGCGGTTATTCCGAAGATCATTGCCCTAGCAATTATTCAAAAAACTATAGCCTTTATCGCAACTGCATTCTTTCTTGAAAGTCAATCTTCAACTGATGAAGAATATCCTAATAGCTTAAATTATCGCAAGTATTTTCATAGATAATTGTTTGATTATTATTTGCTTTTTCTACGTGTTTAAAGTTATAAATGAATAACTCATGCTTCGTATTCGATAATGTAGAATTAATTAGAGTCTTTATTTGTTTACCCTTTTGTACTATTAAAAGTTTAGATCGCATTTAAAGAAGTGTATATTAATATTTAGGGTACGAAATGTAGTTGTGTTTGATATGATGAATTTATGGAAGAGCGAACAGACTTATTACTTATAGTAATTGAGAAATAGCATAATTAATACTTACTTGCACTTTTTGTATGGGGGTAACCAGTCATCACCGATTACAGGGTAGGTGTAATATATGTTGTTGATAATAATTTACCAACTCCTTCACTACTACAATTACAAAAGTAGAAGAAATAAGTTAAGGACTATATACAAGTTTATTATTCAAAACTTGTGCAACTCTCTAAGATTATGCATGTCGCTAAACATCCTTCGCCATATAATATCGACCTTGTCGTGCAAATAGACGATCATTCCCTAAAAAAATAAGAGATAAAATATGTCGTCCTTCAATAATTGAAACTAAAGTACATTTTCATATGGGCCAATAGGCTTTTGGAATAAAGTCAAAATAGCACCAGCAAATATATCACCGAGACCTGATAATCCTTCGGGCGTAATAGCATTGGAAGCTGTGGTTTCTTTATTACAACCTCGCGTGCGTTGTTTACCATTAAGTCTATCTTTCATCCAATTAAAGGCACCACCAGCACCTGTAACAGCTTGAATAATATGCTCACTCAAGAGGTCCTCATGATAATCAATGTCGACACCCCTTTCACAAAAATCTTTATAGAGCTCGTCTGTACCAGATGCAGGGATAATTTCGTCCCCTTTACCTTGATAGAAATATAATGGGATAGTAGGAAGGTATTTACTACCTATCATAGTATTTTTTTCTGTAATATTCTTTACAATCGGTAAAGTCAAAAGGTATTGTTTATCGCCATCAACGTATTCACTTACCTGATCAAAGGCATAATATGGAAGTTCTTCAATGAGACACATTTGCGTCGCCTTTCTAAATTTATCAAGTTTGTCTTCGTATCCTAATTCATTAATAAGATTATCCAACTCTGGGTACTCATTTGCTAAGCCATTTATTGCTGCCATGATAAAACCAGTAAAGGGGCCACCAAAGTTTTTTTCTGCAACTTGAGAAATGTTAGCAACAATTCCACCATAAGCAGCACCAACAATGTTAAGTTCACTCGCATATGTTGGGTGCATTTGAGCAGCCCATCCAGAAGCAAATGAGCCACCAGAATACCCCCAAAGAGTAATTTTAGCATCTTCATGGATACCAGTGATATTACCAGAGCTAAGGGTTGCACGAATTGAATCAAGAACAATATGGCCGGCAGATTCGCCTACGACAAAAGTTGATTTCGGACCTTGGTGATCTGGAATGACAACATACCATCCTTCATTTAAGCCAACTTGAGCCAAAAGTTGTTCAATTTGTGCCGTTAAAATCGTATCAGCATCTGCTCCTAACTGCATTGCATACGATGGCGAACAATCAATATTAGCGGCATCTTCAGCAGCTTGGTAGGACAATAATTTGGTTGGGTCAGCATTATATGGTTCAAAAACAGTAGTCACCGCTGCAATAGGTTCCCCGAAACTATCTTCCGATCGGACTAAAAATTGATGAACAGACTTAATATTCTCAGGAATAACAATAATCCCAAACAGGTTCTTCATTTCACGATGCTTCAAGACATCACCGGGAGATTTCGATTCAAAACCTTCAGGAGCTGTATAAAAGGCATCTTCACTTGGTTTAGTAGGCAAACCTCTTGGCTTTAGTGGGATAGCAGGCGCACCGCAAACGATATTGAAAAGAATTGCAGAAAGAATTATAGTTATCAATCTCATACTATGTATTATTGAATAGTTTAAACATCGTCAGTCTATGAGAAATTCTCTGGTTTTTATACTGTTCAAATAACTATCCTACTAAATTTAAGTGTTGAACTGATAATCAAATCATTCTTTATTTGCAATAACAAAATCTGAAAATGATTTATACTAACTACAAAAGGACATACAGTTTCTACTTCTGGATTACTACTACGTCTTGTGAAAGCCAGCTTTAATAAATCCATTGATTTAGAATATGTACACGTATTTTTTTGTTTATTTTCCAAATGGAATTAGCGAAAAGGACTCACGCGAAAGAACATTAACCGAAGGCTATTATGTTAACAGAACTATTTGGGTCATCAGTTGACAATTGCGGGTCTTCCTGTGAAATCTGAACCTGACTAAATGTATGCCAAATTAACTAGGAGATTAGTTTTAGGGTTGTTCTATTATAGCGGAGTGGGCAAACTTCTTCTCCACGTTTACTATTTCTCATATTCTTCGCACCAATAATTCGAAGTAGCCTCTACATTGAACGTGCGAAAAATGCTAACCCATAAATCAGTCTCAACGTGTAAAACAAATCTTATCTATTAAAACAGGAGATAAGATTTGAAAAGTTAAATGTGTTCTGTACTGGACTTCGAATACCAAATATTTAAAAATTCAAAAAAAAAACTAAGTCGAATTTTCCTTCCAATTTAAGAATATTACTCCGATGAGCGTCTCCGCGTATTATGTTGCAATTATGCGTTATTTTAATTATTAAAAGCAGGATATCTTAAAGTTATCTGCGAATTGATTCGTTGTCTAATAGGATAATCTTTAGCGATCAAGAATTCAATGCGCGAACAAGCAATTGATATTATAGGTCAGTTTTAGTTCTCACATGTTACTTTCTCCAGTTCCCATGTGTGAAATATGAATTCAACGAAAAACTATGTACTTTCAGAGTTGATTTAATTTTTCTATCAAGTACGATATAAACGACTATTGACAAAAATAAAGAAATGGCATCAACTATGGCAAATACTGACAACGACAAGTGTATGAAGTATAAGGTTGTTCGTGGCACGGATCTGGGGTATACTTCAAAATTAATTGCTTCTTGTTCTTTTAAGAAAGGTGATGTTCTTGAAACCATTACTGGAGCGACTCTTGGAATGAAAAGGTATACTACAGTCCAGATAAATGAAAACGAACATATTGAGTTGAATAGTGATATTGTATATCTAAACCATAGCTGCGACCCAACGTGTATAATGGATGTCAAGAATATGCTTGTGCGTCTTATCAAAGACGTTCCTGTTGGTGGTGAATTAACATTTTTTTATCCAAGTACTGAGTGGGATATGGATCAACCCTTTAAATGTTGGTGCAAGAGTTCCAGCTGTATTGAGACCGTAAATGGTGCTAAATATCTCTCAAAAGAGCTTTTAAATAACTATTTTATTAATGAACATATCTTGGCCTTACATGATAAAAATTCCGTCTAATTTAATACGGTAGAGCTCAATTTTGTTCTTATTTATTTTATTAATGGGTTTACTCCGTATGCTAAAATCTATGTAGGATGGGCTAAGAGAAATTTCATACTATTATTTTATTTACAGGGAGCACTTGCGAAACTCCAAGACGGTTAGTGCCAGAATATTTATATTAAACTTCCAATAAAATCAGCAATTATTTCTCCTGTATTTAAAATTGTGCTTAACTAAACCTTCAATGATATAATGTACTTCATAAGCCATTTTTGATTTCTACCCTGTCTCTTTCTTTTAGTATTAGGAATACATTTTAGACGTGTATAATTCAGATCGGATTTTTACAGCGTACATATAAACTATCCCAGTTTTAAACAGCATAATAAAAGTTTTTAAAATTCATAAACTAAATATTGAAATAGAAAATAAAATTAGGTAAGTGTAGGAAATTTAAAACAAACCAGTATCTAAACAACGGTAGATTAGAAGAGGCAATAAAAGAAGCAGCAAATAATTCAGCCGAGACTAGAAGAAGAAGGCAGCGAAAGAAATAGCAGATAATCCAATCAAGACCAAGATGTTACCGGGGAAGATGAAGGCGGCAGCGCTAATTCTATCTTGAACTTCTGGAACATTGGAAATAGCAGAAGATGAAGAAGTAATTTCTTCTGGAGCAGAAGACGATGCTGGAGCAGAGCTATCAGTTTTATCAGTAGAAGTCTCTGGGGCTTGTGTGAGAGTATCAGTATCGTCACTAGTAGTATGGGCATCAGAAGTATATTCAGATGTTGTTGAGGTAAGAGAACTTCAGCAGTATCTTCTTCCTGTAATTCAGTAGAAATGGAAGCCGGGATGAACCAGTATGGACTTGGAACACCAGCACTGGAACATATAGAAAGTGCCAAGCTTGTGGCAGAATCAACGTTGTCACCTTTACATTTTTCAGCAATACATTCAGCAACTGGACCACTCCAGTTTGACATAACACAAAGACAACCTGTATCCCAGTATGGACATGGTGTGCTACCAGTGTCTGCTTCAACACATGATCTAGCACATTCTGGAAGACTATCGTAAATGTTGTCAGCAAAGCCATTGATAGAAGCTGTCCTGGCAACCGAAGGAAAAGTGGCCCATTGGTTTTTAGTTTCAGCTTGAGTTGACGAAATGTAGAAAGCAGCTACAGCAGTAGCCAATAAATCGGAAAATAACATAATTTTCTCCTGCAGCTTGGATTCTATGGCTGAAAATTGAATCACGATAAAAGTGGGTAAGGTCTTATTTATATGAGCTCAACATAGCAAAGCAACTTCAGAAACTTAGGAACAGCCTGAGTCCAATCTGGTTTAAAAGCATTTGAAATTCGCTAAGCAGCTGAGTAATAGATCTCATAAGAAAATAATTGGGGCAAGGTCCGTATATAATTTACGATTGAAAATCTGAATCCTAAATAAAGTTCAAAAATTCAAGAATTCTATTATATAATCCTCTGATCGTATCTTAATGCATGATATATTCTTATCTTCATCAATGTCTGCTGGCCAAGAGATATCACACATAATTAATTCAAGCAGATTAGAGCATATGTCTTCAAGTACGAATGTATCGCACAACCGATTGGTAGAAATATACCAGATTCAAAGCTTGCTTTATATGATCTGCAAGTTCCTATTTAGTAAGAATCTAATATCATGCGATTATGGTGAGTCGGCTCCGGGTGATGGATTCTCTAAGGGTGCTAAACTTAGCTTTCGTCTAACAAATTAGTAATATGTCTCAATACAAAATATACTTACGAATAGGTTTGATGAAGATTATTAATTTATTGTAGAAATTAAGAAATATAAAATGGCAGTAAAGGAAAACATATATGTAGATTACTTGTATAAAAATGTTGTGTACAATATGATCATAAGAATAAAGTGGCAACAAGAACAGCAATTACCGAGAGAATACCATAGACAAGTTTTCAGTTGTGGATTCAGATCCCTGTTGAGTCAACGATTCGCTGATGCTTGTAGACGAAGCTGAAGAATCAGTGGTAGTAGTGTCCTGCTGCGCTTTGCCTGCAGCAGCTTCACTAAGTATTGTGGTGATAGATGCTGGGACTAAAAACATGTTAGCGCCAACGCTCGAGCATAAGGAGAGAGCCAAACTTGTAGCACTGGCTACAGCGTCTCCTGAACATTTCGAAGCAAAGCATTCACCTATTATTCCTGCCCAATGGGGCATAACACAAAAACATCCAGTATCCCAATATGGACATGGCGTATTGTCTGTAGGTATATCAACACATTCTTTACCACATTCTGGTAACCTGGTGTAAAGTGGGTCAGCAAATCCTTCTACTGCCAGATTTGGCAATGGAAGGATGAGTTGCCCAATTGTTAGCACCAGCCAAAGCAATAAAGCTGGAATAAACCGTAACTAGAGACAAACAATTTCATACTGTAAGTTTATTACACCCATGGCTTAAAATAAGAATTATTTTCAATTATTTTCAATTTTTCCTGATCTTTATAACTCAATTGAAGATCATCTTCCAGCTTGAGGCATCTAGATTAATCAGATACTATTCTTGGCTCGCGTGCTTTTATCTGCATTATCTGATTAAGTAACGCTCACAGGAAAATAAATAGCACGAAAACAAAAATACAAGGCTTGCATTGGGGAATATGCTATATACTTCAGGTTTTCCAAGTTATAATTATATTTCTTTAATATAATCCAATGTATGCATGTTAGATTTATTACCAGATTAACAGTTTAAAATTTTTAGTGAAGTTAAGTATGGCGATTCCATATAGTCAGCAATATTTTGCCGAAAAAGACAGAAACAATCTTCTAGAATGGATGATATTCGTAATAGGTGTATTTGGTTTAATACTATTTGGTCTAATATTTCATTGGTTGCCAACATATATCAGGAGTAAAAGGGATGAGAATAAGTTGAGACATAGGTGGATGTTTCAATTTACAAAATTATGGGAAACCCTTAATGGCTGCGTGGGAATAAAATTCCCTTTCAAGAAAAACAAATCCTACTTCCAACCTAGCTTGTTTCTTCTAGGAGCCATATATGCTGCTATCAATGGAATATTTTGCATTATTCAAACTGCAGATATTGACTATGAACCCAGGTTTTATATTGTGGGTAAAAGAATTGGAAAGATTGCTATTGGAAATTTACCTATTCTTAACATTATGATACTTAAAAATGATTTAGTAACGGCTGTCACTGGTCTTCAGCACGATAGGATAAAAGTGATGCACCACTGGGTAGGTAGACTTATTTGGTTGATGATAACAATTCATATTTCGTTGACCGTTAAGTATTGGATAGGGTTAGACTTCCAAGTTATGATTTATATACCGCCACAAATATTTGGAATGATTGCATACACCACTATGTTTCTTTTGACTTGGGGAAGCATGAAATTTATCAGAAAATGGTCCTACGATTTTTTCCTCCTTCAACATAAAATTTTATCAGTTATTCTGCTTTTATTTGTATTCTTCCATAACATGAATGGAACTAATGCAGCAGTACTTATTGCAGTACATATTGTCGTAGCTGATAGAATTGTTACTAGAATTATTGGTTTTGTTCACAAAAGGACTAGTCCTACAAAAGGTCTTGCCGACTTCAAAATATTAGATGATGACACAGTCGAAGTAGTTGTTCCGGTTAAATACTTAATGAACAAAAATAAATGGTATTCAATGATCTTACCAAAAATTGGCTCATGGAATGTTGGTCAGCATGTTTATCTTACTGTGAGTAAAGTCAGCCGATTACAATATCACCCATTCACAATTGCAAGCATGCCTAGTACGGGTGATATTAGATTGGTGATAAGGAAACAAAATGGGTTCACAAAGAAATTGATAAAGAGAATTAAAGAACTTGAACTAGATGAAGAACAAGATGAGGATTCAGTCAAGTTAGTTGCATTGTTGGCTGGTCCTTATGGAGGTATGCATCAACCCTTAATTACTTTTGATTCGTTATTATTTCTTAGTACAGGTGCTGGATCTTCTTTTTACATTTCCATTAGCCTTGGATCTTTTAGAAACAATCAAACAACGAGATTTAGAATGCGATTTTTTGCATCGTCCCAAGAGAACAATAGTTAAAGTAGTCTGGGTGCTCAGACACTTAGAGAACATAAATTGGTACAAAGATATTTTGGTACAATTAACCAAATATTTAGAGTCCAGCCGTTTATCCATAGACATATATGTTACCAGATCAAATCCAAAAAAATTAACATACGATGATGTTATTGAAGGATCTTCAAACGCTGGACTCCCAAAAGAACTCTCCGCGGAAAATGATAAAGAGACCTCCTTTGAAATGTCTACTTTCGAAGTAAAAGGGAAACCAGAACTTAATGAAAAAGCATCGTCAAAGGAAAGAAATCAAGATTTTGAGTTAACAACTGACCTCACTAATTCTTCAAATTCAAGCTTAGCTTCCACAATCTTTTACCTATCAAGAATAAAAGTATATTATAGTAGACCAACTGCCGCTTCATTGATAAGTCCAAGAGTGAACCACTTATGCGAAGAAAATATGGCGGGAGGTTTGAAGTCATTGGCAGTAATTGGTTGTGGACCAAAGTTGCTTTCTCATCAGATAAAAGAAGAATGTCAAAGAAACCGTTGGAAAAAAAATGCTCCAGGTATTTATTGCTATACTGAAAGATTTTGAGATTGTATTCTTAGAAAGCGCTGTTACAAAGATTATTCACTCATTTTTTTTTTCAATATTATATAATTTGGCAAAATTACAAGATATGAAATGCCATATATATCGAGAAATTACATAAACGACAATCGTTGATTTTAACTGATAAACGTTATCTGAGTGATATTTAATTAGCATAAGTATTTGAAATTTTCTGATTATAACATATGTAATACAAAAAAGTATAAACTAGAGTTTTATTGTCGTATACTAATATTTCTTTGCAACCAATTTCAGGCAGAATGATCATCCAATTAACCTCATCCTTTGAAAGGATTTTGTTCTGATTTACCGTCAACATTGTTAGAATAACTTGAGTCTTGAGATTTGGTTTCTGCCAACTCTGATTCCCCCATTCTTTGACTCCTAGATCCTACATAACCCTTATTTTTACACAAGACGCCTAATTTAATTGAATTAGATGATTTTTTAACAGCGTTTTTTCTCTTCTTTAAAAGATAGTAAAATACGGCACCAGCTATTAAAAATATCACCACAACAGGAACAACAACTGCAGGAACAATAATCTTAGCTTTATTACTACTTCCTTTATCATTTTTGTTATCACTACTATCATCGTCATTATTATCGGAAGGAACTCTTGATATTTTGGTATAAGCATCACTCTTTGAGGCAATAAGTCTCACCACCGGTCCAATAGCCGTGTCTTCCTCTTCAGAATCTGTATCGGAAGTTCTAAATGGAGAAAGATATATTTGTGCATAACCATCCATATCTGAATCAATATCAGAAGATTCTATAGTCCAAGGATAGAAGCCATCTTTATTTTCTACCCAATCTGAAGTTTCAATTGGGCTGATACTTTCATTATTAGGAAAAGACCGAACTTTAATTTTGACTTTACTGATTCCGTTAGAATCGTTATCAGGGTTGAAATAAAGAGGATCCCAAGTTATCCAGTATGTTTCATTAACAACAAATTCAGCACCTTCGCCTATACAGAATGGATTTCCATCTGTTACTCTATCTCCCATACAACGTAATACGGGAGGAGCCGCTAATGGAGTTGGAAAATTAGTATTTGTTGGGGTTGGTGAAGAACTAAGAGTCTTCGCGTCTTTTACAGTGGGCGTAACTTCATAAGGAACACCCGAGCTATCGAGAGATACCCATGGCGTTGTTTCAGCATCAATTGGTGATGCTGAGACTGTTACACCATCAAGTGCAAATGGAGTAATGATAGTATGTTTAGTTCCTGTTGTCGTAGTCCATACTTCTTTCACAAGTGTCGTCGTTTTGGAAGCCCTCTTTTCCAATAATTTGACTCCTTCTTCTTTATGAAAATGTAGGGAAAGGCCCAATACAGTTTCAATCCAAAAGACTAAGAATAAATCAGATAATTTCATGATTGGATGAATTTATAGACAGGTTTATAATAAGGCTAAATAACAGAAAATCGGGAACTTGAAGTACTATATACGCTTTAAATGAAAGACTCGGAGAAATTGTTTAGTCCCTGATATCATACAGAGGAAACTGAACCACTCTAAAATCTGATATTTGAAAAGGTCGAGAACTTACTGTACCCCATTAAACCCGATAGGTTAAATTTGAAATTCTTAAGGGTAATTGCCAAGTGCAGGTAGGAATTTCATTATTTTCTTTCTAGCGTAGAATGTGCATAGCCTAAGCGCAACTTAATTGTTGTTTGAATTTCGGTTAGATACAATATTCCTTTGTTCAAGCCTACGATTGGCTTAGAATCGAGGCAATAGATAATGCATGCATGATTACAAGGATTTGCCTTTTATCTACGCAAGACTTGGCTGCAGGAGCTTTTTCTTGGAATAATTTCAGTTAAAATTGAGAAATACACCATAAGATGTGCTTAATCTGCTTAATCTGATAATTTATACGATTAATCGTAATTCAAGGATGTTATATAGAGGACTAAATGAAAAAAACTTGGATGCAGACACACCCACATATATATATATATATGCATAGTTTTCGGTGTTTAATCGTTTCCATTATTTTTATAAAATTGAAAGAATTCTACTCAGAGCATGGTTCGTATTCTTCCATTGATTATCGGCTTGATATCGTCTGCTATTTGTGTCTCTTCATCATCTTCTGAATTTGTCCTAAGTTCATTGAGTCTCGATTCCGACATTCCGTTTGATACTTATTCTCCACTTAAATACAATGAAGAAGGCATAGTTGGATTATATGCTGATTGTGATACTTGCTACAATTTTACTGGACTTATTACAGATGAAGGTTATTTTGAAATTACTGAAAGTTCTGAAGGGGTCTTTGCTAATTCAAAATATTTAAATATTGATGAAACTACTGGTTTGTTCACAGTTAATGAAACTGCAGATACCAATGAGTATGTTGTCAGCACCCATCTTTTATACACCAATAGTCTGGTGGATTATACCATTCTTGAAGTTGAGGATAATAAAACGTATCACCTTTATTTCCTGAATATAAAGTTTGATATAGCTGATTTAGGTAACAATTTTTCCTCCATATTGAACACACTTTATCCTAATGGTAGCAGTTATCTTTCTTACAGTACGTCGGAAGCTTCTGAAACTGCTTCAATTTCCAGTATTGACAATGTTTCTCCCTCTACTAAGACTGCATCTGCATCTGCATCATCAGTAAGTTCATCTATAGCTGATCAAAGTTCATCATCAACAGCTGGAACTTCATATCAGTACAAGAAGGATATTGGTGTAACAGGTTTGGTTACGTTAGTTTTTGGTTATGTTTACATCTATGGTTTCTAATTTTCACAATTTTACCGCATTATTTCCGGAGTTTTATAAACTTCAAAAAAGTAAATCTTAAATCTTCAATATACATGAGTTATTTCTTAATACTTAACGGGGGAGGGGGGGAATTATTGGAGCAGACCAACGTGGATCATATTCTGTTGTGGTATATTTTGGTATATTGGTACTTTAACTTCGCTGAATAATAGACAAAATTCAAATATTAGGTTATGTATTAAAATGCTGAATTATGCTTATACCTAGCTTTCGACGATTAGGAAAAAATCTTCAGTAGTAATTTCTTTTTGTTGTTATCATGAGATAAAATAACAAGTGTGGTTAGTACCAGATCCTTTGAGGTGTAATAATATTTATAAGTTTGAAATATGGTTAGTATTGTGGTTTTTTTGCCATTTGCGCAGAAATAGTGTTGTACCAAATATATTTTGTAATGAGACCTTAATCCTGCATAATTATTGAATATCAAAAAATTCTGGGGTATCGCCCAAATCAGTGGGGTCAGAAGGCATTTATTTTTTTGTTTCATTGCACAGCGTAAGCCGGTAATCCGTCCATATAAGCAAGGTCCAATTACCGAACCAATCTCAAATATATCAGAATTAAGAAAAAGAAATCATAGGTAGAATAAAGCATAATGTTAGGGAAATTTGTGGGCCAAAATGAGGGTTTTATTTTATTCTGCAAGACAAAAAAGGTCAGGGAAATCATCAAAGAATTTTATTCCTTACAAAATGCGATAAGGGTTTTCAAATTTTCACAATAACCCCAAATTAAGGTATTTAGACTATTTATTATAGAATCTTGCAAATGTTTAGTAATGCCAAACAAAGAAGCTAGCAACGCACGGCCTTTAAGGAAAAGGGTTAAGAAAGAGCATGTAGAAGAAGAAGATAAGTATGAGGAGGAAATTCCGAAAGAGAAGAGGGCAAAGCTCACCAAAAATTCTATCAAAAAGGGTGCCCCGAGCAGTTACTCTGATGATTCCAAGGAAGCATTGGGAAATAATTCCTTCGAGAAGGCAATCGCACTATTTGAAAAGACAGATTCTGTTTTATGGAACTTTATTAAAAGTTGTGACGATCCAAATACTTTGATGGATGTTAAGATGAGTGCATATCAAACACTTGTTAAAATAATAATATCCCAGCAACTATCTACAATTGCAGCAGGTTCAATAATGACAAAATTTATTAAACTTTTTCTTAAAGAAGGCGAGTCAACTGAGCCCGATCATCAATTTAAGGCACATCCTCATTTTCCAACACCTGAAATTGTTAAAGAAGCTTCTCCAGAAAGATTAAGATCAGCAGGTATATCATTTAGGAAAGCAGAGTATTTGCTTATTATTTCCGAAAAGTTTTCAGATGAGAATTATCTATTGAATGACGATAAGAAATTAAATGATATGACTAATGAAGAGATAGCAGAATTATTGATTAATCTTAAAGGGATTGGACCCTGGGCTGTTGATATTTTTCTATTGCTATATATGAAGAGATCGGACATTTTTCCTATTCGTGATGCAGGGATTAGAAAAGGGTTAAGTATTCTTGTACAAAATACACTGGGTAAGAAAGGAAAGAAATTAAACTATTTATCCATAGAAGAAATGGAAAAATATTCTGAAAATTGGAAACCTTACCGAAGCGTTGCATCTTGGTATTTAATGAAGGTGTCATCGCCAGAGCGGGTAGAGGGCTATCTTAAGATAAGTGAATAGTGCAATCCTAACACTTACTTGAATTACATTGGTAATTATTTACATATAGTTATTGTAACCTATAAATGAACTGCAAAAAACTTGTTGTTTTTATTGATAATGAAATAATACTATGTCGAAATAGATAAGATCGCGATACAAAATACAATATCTTATTATTCCGTGGTGAGTAAGATGCTTTATTTAAGATTCTTGTCTATATAATTCTACAATATATAACGAGACGCTTTATTAAGTTCATTCGAATGTTTATATTCACATATTCACACGATATCGGTTGACCAAAAGCTCTCTATTAGTCTCATTGATTAATAATTCTGCCTTCGCAATAATAGTCATCGACCTTAGTTTTATCACCATTACATATGCCCATAATCAATAAAGTATAACTTTTTCGGATTACAGAGTAATCTTTATCTTTATGAATCTTACATTGCCGTAATTTACAACTTTATAATCATCTGCTATTGTATCTCATTTACCTCGGGAAAAGGATCATAGCTTTGGAATACCAGGTGCATCAGATCCTAGCAAAGTTTCCTTTGAGATGAAGCTTAAACCCTCTTGTCTGATACTTGCCACCATAGTACCATCTAAAGTATATATAAAGCAACTAACCAATACTCGGTTATTTACCATCCTATCGTAACTCCAGCTCATAAACATCCATTGAGTAGGGTCAAAGTTCGCATCATGAAAGTTAACGCAATGGTCCAACGAAATATTAACATCCTTCATCATACCTGGCCCTATTGGATGTCCCAAGGCCCTATAAATTGAAGGTAGATAAAAACTGTCCGAAATGTAACTTAATAGAAGGAACTTTGATTTTATTACGTCTTTGGCAACCGTGAGGTCATCGCTAACTCGAAAGAACATACCGAATTCTCTATCAGATAAAGAGACATTTTTGTAATTTGGAGGAAGCGTAGTATCAAAAAACTCAGGTGGTAAAGCGTGATGAAAAAATCCATGGGTATGCTCTATGTAATTAATATTGTCAATCTTTTTAAGGTACTTATCGAAGTAAAAATTTGGTTTCTTTTGGAAATCCAAAGAAAATTTACCCTCTTCAAGACTTTTATGATCTGAACGAAGTTTATTTCTGTCGTTTTTTTTTGAAAATGACATCATGTAGACAACGCACAATGCATCTGTCTCTGTTTGGTAACATTCGACAGTTCTATTACAAAAGTTCTTGCCATCATTGTTTTTTTTCACCTCATATCTTATTACCGATCCATTATTCCCTACTTTCAAAAAGTAAGCATGAAGCGAGTTCGGGGTAAATTCTTCTCCTGGTACTGTCTTCCAAGCAGCATACATAGCTTGAGCAATGAATTCTCCACCATAAACACTTCTGTTTTGTTCAAGAAACTTTTCCAATGGACGGACCCCTTCGAATATGGTGTCTGACTTCTGTACTAATTCAAACCTATTTTCTATCTTTGTTCCTGTTTCCATTTTTTATGTTATTTAGTTAATCTTGTAATATCTCATTCGTATAACTTTGACGAGCTATATGCTATCGATTTATATGCCAATGTTGTCCAAGTTCATATAGCGATTAAACCTCGGTTAGCTGATGAATTGGAGGCTGCGAGAATAATTCTCCCCGCATTTTGAAAAACCTATATATTCCAGAATAAACTAATTTATACTTACTTTTCTTTATAAGTTTACATTGGTTTTTAGAATGTCAGAAGGAAACGATATTATTTATGAAGTGAGAGGGAAGGTGACAATTATAACTTTGAATAACCCTAAAAAATTGAATTCTTTGGATAAACCTCAATATATTCTATTAGCTAAATTGATTGAGAAGGCCGATAAGGAAGAGGACACGGTATTAACTATTCTTCAATCAACTGGAAGATATTTTAGCGCGGGGGCTCAGCTTGGTGGTAAAGATATGCTTACCTCAGACCCGTCAGTCTTGTTGAGTCATGAGTACTGGCTAGATGAGTTCGTGGCGAAGAATGTCTTTTTGACTGATGTATTCCACAATCATACCAAGGTATTAGCTGCTGCTGTAAATGGCCCTATAATTGGAGTGAGTGCAGCATTGGTGGCATTGTGTGATTTAGTGTATGTGATGGACGAAACAAAAATGCACATCTTAACCCCATTTACATCGTTAGGATTAGTTGCAGAAGGAACTAGTAGTTCTACATTTTTCTTGCGATTAGGCTGGTCTAAGGCTGCTGAAGCAATAATCCTAGCGAAACCAATACCAGGTACAGAATTGAATAAGTTAGGATTCATTAACAAATCTTATCATGAGACCAATTTTGACTCCGTAGAACAATTCAATCAGAAGGTACACGATGATTTGGTATCTCAATTCAGTGGCTTATATGAGCCTTCTATATTAGCTAACAAACAGTTATTAAAGGCAAATAGAGACCAATTGATTAATAGTGCTAGTTCTAGAGAGGTTATCAAAACTTTTAATAATTTTGTTCAGGGTATTCCTCAACTGAGGTTTATGGAAAAAATGCAAGAAGCAAGAAAAAACAAAATGTAAGAGTACTTCAGATAATGGAGTGGGTCACGATTGCAATATGGAATATGTGAAAAGGCTGATCTCGAGATTTTGAAAGAGTATACCAGTTGTAAGTTATTGCTAAGAAACTAATCAAAGTGGTCAAAAATCCCGCTTTCTGAAGAAGATCTATTCCTTTTTTTCATTTTATATATACAAAAATAGATATTATTAGATACGCAGATATGTTATTTACTGGGTGTATATATAGCAATAACAGGACTAGCCATGAATAAGGAGGAAATATCGAAGGAAATTTTAGAAAACAAAATAATAAAAAATATAATGAACAATTTTTTTGCTATTCACAAAGGGTTATATTAAATGTGATTGAATGATTAAGGTAAATAGCGATTTAAGGAGCTTCTTTATCTCATTTATGCATTGTCACAGCTTATGGTTTCTACGGATTACATAGAGAAATCAAGTGGTGGATCAATAAGGATCGTGTAAGATAATACTACTATTGAAATTGATACTGTGTCAAATTAACCAAGTGCTTAGTTATTCCATTAAAAGTCCCTGAAATACAAATTTCATAAATGCATAAAGCTCTGTGTAAGTCAACTGCAAACAGTCATCAGGTAAAACATTTTACAAGACTCTGGCTTAAGAAACTCGTGCTATTGACGGCCCATTAAAGAGTTTTAATATATAATGGAATATTTGAGCGAATAATTAGACTACACAATTCCATAATAGATGTTAGTTTCTAGTTCTGGATGTGCATCTAAATTAATTGAATTTAAAGTATTTGAATAAACTATGCAATTGATCGTGCAAGATTAAGATCATTTAAGTTCATACAACAAACAATAGCAAAAGTTAACTGAAACTAGCATTATCGGGCTTTCCTGATAACAATAGATTCAAATTCCATTACATACCTTGATACACTCAATTTTAAAGCCATTGTTTTGAGTATCATTACTACACTCCAATTACTCAAATAATTAGAATAAAATATTAAAAATCGAGAGACTACATTGATATTTGGAAAGCAAAACATACATTAGAAATGATTGATACTCCTAAAATTAGATTTCAAGATTGAATCTTTTCATAGCGATAGGAGGTTTATAAAAATGTTCCTTACCATCATGATCTCTCCAGTGTTCCTTACCCTCGTGATCCTTCCAGTGTTTCTTGCCATCTTTGTCATTCCAGCAGTCGTTACCATCCTTATCATTCCAGTGTTCCTTA